GCCTGATGGTTGCCTCCGGTCTGTGTGCAACTCCAAACCCAAGTGGTGCGAGAAGGCGGCCGACAGCCTCCGAAACCTTCTTATCTTTCTTCTGACCATGTGATGCCGCCCCGTAAACAGGAAGACTGTAACCTGCGTCAGGTAGACCTTCAAATTTTGAAACTGAAGACCGCGCCGGCCAGATGACAGGATGAAGATTGATGTTTGTATACGAGCGCTAGTGCACATTCTGCCGCCATCAGCGCTCTCACGGAGGTCTCCGCTCGTCCATTACGTAGGTCCTCCACATCCCTCCCGTCCTTCTGTTGATCTAACCGCACGCAAATGTCTGTCGGCCGGTGTGTGTGTGTATGTGTGTGTGAAGACTACTAATATTACACAACTGTAACTCCGACAACATGGGAGGAGGGTTGGCCGCAACGGCGCCTGTGTCTCGGTCGGCGGCTCCAATGTTACCGCAGATTCCCACCGACGACCGTTTGGCTCGACTTTTGTTCAGACGGTCCTGGCCGTTGTGACCTTAACGGTGCGCACACACACGCAATCAGGATAGAATCGACAAATGCTACTCGCACAACACCTACAAGTAGTATCGCCGCCCAACGACGGCGTACCCCCTCATAGCAGGCTTCAGAGCCGTCATTTGAGGTGGCCACAACAAAGAAAGGCAGGCTTGGCATCTTGCACGCATACTGTAGCAGGAAGGTTGTTGAACAACAAAATATGGTGGTGATGCTGCGTGCTAGCCAATCTTGCAAATCCATGTAGGGAACCTATCATGACCTGCCTGGTACTTGAAATCCCGTGGAGCGTATACGCACTCGACCCTTGTCTCCAGTACCAAAGCGGCAGACCAAGAAAACACGGCCGGCCGCGGAAAGTGTATTAGAAAAACACTGCAAGTCAAGATTAACTGCAGGTAACGCATACTTATAACGCCCTACTCTGGTTCGCCGGCATTCGCCCAGTGCCCTTCGGGAAGAACATTCCAGACGAGCTGATCGATAATTCGAATACTCAGATCGATCAGACCCGAGGAGAAAAGCCAATGGAGAGGCGCCACGATTAAGATGACAGCGCTGTAGAGAAAACGCACATGGCCTCCAGTGATTGGGTGGCTCTTGTTTTTGGGAGTGTAGACACTCCCAACAGAACCCTTTCTACACAAAATCATGTCTGAGGATGCTAGTTAGTATTTTATGAGTTGCGTCTAGTGCTGTAATCTTAAGTCCATCTGTGAGCCCTGGAGATGCACTCGTTTCGCACAACAAAATGTTTCAAATCTGTCCAGAGCCGGTACGATGGGATGGAGAGGAAAGCAAGTGGAAACTATGAAAAAGTATCAGGGCGCGAAAACAGCTGGTACAGACACCAACATTTGCAACTATGAACGAGGTGGCCGAAGAAAATACCGTTAATTTTGACTTTTAAATGATTGCATCTACCACTCGTTTTCGAATATCAGGTCGCGTAGGAAATGACTGGGTTGTTTCTGCAGCTGCTATGACTGAACATTCTCCTTGTCGTGTGCTTTTATCTGTTCCTATCTGAACTGACTTCTGGCTAAATCAACACACTTGGGGGTTCATCGGTGTAGGCAACTAGTCGTACAGTTTGATAATCGCATCAGCGCACAAGCGCAGTGATAATTCTTCAGCTGCGCGGATCGATAATCATGTCAATACGGAATGCACCTGTGGGTTCTGTATACATTAAACCTAACACCCATGCGGCTTGGCCGTCAGCCTTTATTGCTGTGGGGCTCTTGAGGCTGTCGTCATAAATATTTGAAATATCCGAAATTCAGACTAATTTATCTGACTGCCCGGAATCGTCCTCAGGTTAAACAACAGACATTTACAAATAATATAAAAAAAATGCGCTCTCCGTTTTCGTTGAAGCTCAGTCGGCAAAAACAGCTTACACTAGGCTGGAGACTAGAACCTCCTGTCGTCCCCCGGAAAGGGTTGACTTCTAAAACTCGCTGCTAAAAGGTTCAAGGGCTGATGGCGGCCCAATACGCGATAATTCAGCTGTCGATTTCGACATTCGGGAAGCGTTGTATTTTTCTGACAGAAAGAAGTAATCACAGTCTATCTAAGTGCCACACACGCCTGGCCCCTGGAACAAAGCGGCGAGTTTTCATAGAAGCAAGAGTGGGGATGGCTTGAATCCCATCTGAGTGGGAGAGCCGTAAAGGTTACACGGAGATCAGAAGAAGAAGCGATCGCTGGAACAAGGGCTTTATTCGCCTGACGTTTCGGACTCTCACTTGAATCCATCATCAGAGACAGTGGCAGAAAAGGGTGACTTGTGCACAGGAAATCGCAGTATTTATAGGATGCAGTCGCTATGCTACCTCATACCTATAGCAATTAACCGCGCTCCGCTTCGTCAAGGATGGGTGCCCGCTGGTGCGCTAATCGCTTGGTGGCGGGCATGCAAGTTGTTAATTACCGAAATGTCATCACTCGTGTTAGATGCTGGCGTGATGATTGGTCGGCCATCTGGCTCACCGGCCTGCGCGCTCCCCGAGTGATCAATTACCTTGGCCAGCCTATGCCTCAGCACGGAATATGGAGTGGGGATATCGTTGCACTTGTTGATAGACTGAGGTCCCGTGAACCATGACTCAAGCAACTCGCGGCTCACGCGATTATCCCCTCTCGCGAGAATTTCGGCCTCATCGAACTTGAATGTGTGGCCGGGTCTCGTCGAAGGCGCCGCGACTTGAGAGTTGGCGTCATTTCTCCGTACCGCTGCCGCGGAGAGACAGCCATTTAATGGACCGAATTACCCTGTCAGCTGGCAGTCTTCGGAGTCACGGCGTCTAGCACGCGGTGATAACTTAAAAGCGCATCCGATTATTTCAAGTGAGGAATGTGCGGTGGGTGCCATGGAGCGTGCAGCCCATAGACTCGACCTCAACTGGTATTTTATCTCCCAACTATCAGTTCACTGTTCGAGCCGGTCACACATTTGATGTGGGGATTGGGGACAGGCAGCCGGCGCGTATTGGAACTGCACCTGGGCAGGTGATCATATCGCACCAGTATATGGCACTTGGGTTAGATCGCAGTTGGTAACCAGGAGGGGGAAGGCGGACAGCCAGGTCCCTGTCGTACGGGAATGGTGGGAAAGAGGGTAATACGGGTGGGGTAAATGGGAGGGCTGGTAGAGGAATGATGGAGTATCTGGATAAAATTAAAATCACCAGGGAAAGTGCTGGAAAGTTACAAGTAGGTGGAATAATTATGTAAATTTAAACCCCACGATTAACCCTAAAATTCAGCTCTGATGGCAACCGTAAAGCCTAACCCCAAGGCTCAAAACTAAAACCCAACGCTAAATGAAAACCTAGCCATAACCCTAACCGTAAACTTGACCCTAACCAAAATCATAACCCTAACACTAAACTTAAACCTAACCCTAATCTTAAGCCCAACCTTAACCTTGACCGTAACCCTAAAGGAAATCCTAACGGGAACCTAAACCCTAACCCTTACACTGGAACCTCACCCTAAAACGCAAACCCTAATCATAAAACGTAATTTACGCCTAACCCTAACCCTCACTAAACCCAACAGCCTGACCGAAACGGGCGACCTGCCTAACTCAGTAAGAGCACACTTACTGATAAGAAGTTTCCTAGACAAGGTAAGCACACCTGCTGATAACAAGTACGAACGTCGACAGCATCAACGTATAATGTCCGGCTACCAAATGCGATCTTGCCGGCACTTGCTAAGGGTTCGCAGTCCGCATCATCGGAAATGCGCACCTTTAACAAATGTCAACATCTGGGGTATGAGGCCCAGGCTGAAGAGGAGAGAGTGCGGTAGACTCTGCGCAAGCCTACCATCGCTCTAAACGAATTCAGGCTCGAGTCACCGTCCCTGCTTCAGCTTGTTGTGGAGCACACGGCGGACATAGTCGGAACCGACGGTCGAATCGTCCTATATGTGTATGTTGCTCTTTGCTGCTGAAATGCGCCACGAGGTAGATAAAATAGACCCACACAAAGAGTTATATCGACGTCCGGCAGACGTTATTCGAAATGCGTAAACACAACTGTTATGTACGCTAAACAGAAGGCTAGTTGGAAATAGGACGTGTACTGAGTACGACAGACAGCACAAGTGATGAGACTTTTCGAAACGGCCGGATATGTGGCAGGGAAGAATCTCATTGGCTGATGGGTGGCCAATCAGCACAAAGAGGGTGTGAGCAGGGGTCATGACCTTGATCGTTCGCTTGTCACGCGTTTGTGACATGATGTTTTGGCAGCCAACATCTGAGGTGTGGTGGCAGGCCCAGATGTAGGCTCGCTCCGCGTAAATTGAAATCCGATTAGTCTCTTTTTGTTTTATAAAGGTGCGGTCGGTGTACACTCTTGACCAGGGAGTGTAGTGATACGTCAATGTGCAGGTTTACGCCGTGCGCTATTGACCTGTGTCCTCTCCTGCCTTTGGGTTGCTGCTGGTTATCGCGACCTACTCGTTAAAAATTATTCTTGATTTTAGTTTAAATGGTGGAAAAAAGAAATGGGAAATTTCCACTGAAAGTAGGTAAATTTCGATGCAAATTCTTGCCCTAGAGTTGCGCTCAGGTCTAAAATGGGCATTCATATTTTGTTTTGTCAGTCGAGTGGCGACTAGTAATCAGGTATTGTGAACTTTCTAGAGATAAAATCAGGTACGACATCGGGGTGGCCATTTCCGGCTTCTTTTTTCTCCCAGTAATAACCTGCCTGATGACATGGATAGGCCGGAAATGGGCATTCCAGATCCCTGTGTTTGCACGAAAACGGTCTTGATGAAAGATTGGATGCGTGCGCGCGCGGTTTAATGTCTACAGGCTTCTGAGGCCAAAACTCGGACGGTAGAAAATTTCCGACTCTACCTCGGCCACATCTTCGGACACAATGCAGTAACTACGCGTCAATGCTGCCTGCGTAACCGACTCTGTGGTCACACCTGCCGCAAACCCTACCACGCCCCATGACGATGACGACGACGACCACCATCGCCAGCAGGCACACTCCCGACGCCCTGGCGTCGCCGCCCGCCACCCCCATCATTACTGCCACAACCCCCGCAGCGACATCTGCCACACCTTCAAATCCAACCACCGGCGAAGATCATAATGACACCCCGACAACCACCGCCACCACCACCACCACCACCACCACCGCCGCCACCGCCGCCGCCACCACCACCACCACCGAAAAGGTGGACTTGTGCCCAATCTGCCCACACTGAAATCGCACCGTCGCGTCGCGCATCGGCCCGATCGGCCACTTGCGAATTCATCGCAATGAGATCAGCGAACGCTTACCAGCGGCCCCCACATAAATCCGCGCACCCAATCAACTGCTTGCACTGCGGACGCACGTTCACTTACCTTGTGGGCCTATTCGACTACCGTAGACTGAACGCCATCATTACGCACTTTCCCAACGGCCTATACATCACACACGAACCGGTCTCACAGCACCCACCACAGACACGGAATAGGAACCCTTCACTTAAATGAGAATCAAGTTCTTCGGTTCATTCTCACTGTGGCCTCTTTGGCCTCCAACGTATGTGAGACCCGACCGGCCCTTGTCCGTTTTGGCAAAAAGCCCGGTGTGATGGTGCTAGGTCGAACATGGTACGCACAGACATGCTGTCTAACTCTGTCAGACACTGCGCCCAGTCCCAACCTCCGGTCTTCTTGACTCCGTCTTGACATCGGACCCAGGTGGTTGAGTGCGGTAGACACAGAGAAAGTCTGCCATCACAATGAAATAATTCATGACTAAGTCACCGCCCCTTGTGCTCGCGTTACTGTAGAGCACCCGTGGACACCGTCGTTCGCGACGGTCGAACTGTGATGCCCACGGGAAATTGTTTTAAAACTCAGTACGCGTAATTTTGTTTGTAGGCAGACATAATCACAGAGCTTGCTTTGGCTCTGACTCATGTCGCCAACTGAAATTTTCACATCAGTACATGCCGTAAGATGAACACCGACAAAGATCAGGAACAACATAACGGCAGTCATGAGGGCAGCTTGAAACTTTAAGGTGATATGTTTATTGTACGCTGACTAAGAGAACCGGAAACCTTGCTAAACATTCCAGGGAATGAGACCAGATGTCATAAAGTAGGTAGAGACCAGGCAAGCGATATAAGTGACAATGTTTTTTCGCACGAACTAGACGCAGATTGTTTCAGATGTGACCACTAGAAAGTTCGTCGACCGAAATGCATGAATTAGCATTTGGAAAAACTCTTCTAATGAAGACCCGATAATCGTGCAATTCAAAACTGTGAAAGAAAGGGAGGCTCACTTTTCATTCCCAGACATAACGGCGTGCAGAAAGACTGGTAGATAACGTAAAACGATCGTTTAGAGTAATGAGAAGAATGCCTCCTGAATTATAACCTTCCACAGCAACCACCTCAACTAGCACGCTCTCACAGAGGACGCTTCACCACAACCAATGCGTCTTCGAAATGCGATATAGGCTGAAGAGTTGGCGCGCTGCCTTTGATGTTGCCGATATATTCAAAGGATTAATCAAACCATTGGGTGAAATGAAGGTTAAAGCAACAGACATGCTAGAAGCGACGATTCGCCAGAACCTCAGGCATCCAAAGGACTCACTATCAATAGGTCGAAGATCTGACTTTGTTTACCTGATCGTATACAAACCCAGCAGATCCAATTATGTTGTTGATACCAACAAAAAGACCAGAGGAGGCCACATAAACGCGAGATTGCTGCTACTTGCAGTTGTCCCGTTATCTTCTCAAGGACCCCAACGTAACTATTGATCGTGTTACGGCCTTTGACCAATCGGATAACTACATCTCACGCTGCTGCATGAAGCCTGGCACTTACATGATGACATCGTTTACAGGCCTTCGGAACTGCCACTGGCTTATCAAGCGCTGTTAGAAAAAAATCGATATAGCATTTGAAGGTCATTCCTAGTGTGGCTGCGTTTAAGACCCGACGAGTTTGTGCGTTTAAATATGCCCTTTGCGACTGATTCGAATGATTTTTCTGATTAGACCTATATCCAGGGCCGAATGCACTGAAACGCAAACCCATACAATGCAAGTCTGGTAAAACACAACATGGAAAACGTCATTTATATGAGATTTCAATGATAGTTAGTTTTGAGTGTGCTCCAATGCCAATTCCCACGAGGCTACGAAATGACACACACAGGAACTCATCATCGCAGACAGCGAAGGACAACGGTATTGGCGTAATAAGAGTTGCAGCTGTCGCGAATGAAAGAGTTCGGTCTCCGTCAGCAAAACGCCATGACCAAGCCACTTTCAAGTAGAAAACTTATTACAGAACGTTTTTTGTTTGCTCAAAAATATATTGATCACCGGCTTTCCCCTTGGAAGAGCATAGACTTTTGTGATGTGGTCTTATTTTTAGAGAAGCCTCCGAAGTTGGCCAGGTGGTCATATATGGGAAGAACTTTCCACGAGAGCACACTATGTCGACACCAACTTTCAAGAACAGTCGACGCCTGATAGTGTGGATAGCCATCAAATTCAGAGAGCGACCGGTCTGGCGTTCAGCAGCGAAGACGATAAATAGCAAGGTGTTCATCGACGTCGTAAAGGATGCCTTGGGTTACAACGACAGTTACAGACATCGAATGGACATTTTATTGCTGCAGGACAATGCCCCTGTCCAGCGATCAAAGGAGGTATAATTCCAATTCAGCTTAAGACTATAATCTAATATTTTAGACCACAGCCAGTCGCTCTGCCTGCGGCCTTCGAAGCATTTTTATCCCCGCCAACAGCCCGGACTTAAATCCCATCGAAAATCTTTTTGCACTAATCAAACAAAATTGGGACAAGGCAAGGAAACATATTTATATGGGGCAGAAGTTGGAATTTTTGCTTAATAATTACATAGACCAAAGCACCATAGACAACTTTGTAGTCTCCATGCCCTCCCACCTTACAGCAACTTTAAAAGCTAATGTATAATCAACAAAGTACTAATACGTTGTATTTGATACCATTTTCCTTTTTTGTCGTTTTGTGAAATTTCCCTTCTCTGCTGACAGTTGTATTCGATCCTGAATAGTTGGCTTGTCATACAGTCGATTTTTTGATCTGGTGGTCTTTCCTAAAATAAGTTATTTATTAGTCAATAAATAATACTTTATAAAGCAAATTATGCCCTGTTTTGAAGCCCAGTCGTATATTTAACGCAGCGTAACTTTCGTGGATGCGGGGTGGACGTATCGTGCGCTACAGCGATTGAAGTTCACAGTTCGTGACCTTTCATCACGAACTGTACAATGGTTACGCAACAGGGGCGCGATGATTGCCCGATCTGCCCGCATCGGATGCCCTAATTACCGGCGCAGGTAAGCCTTGTTCGGTCATTAGTTCCACCAGCTCTGCTCCACGAACGCCTAACTAATGGCTAATTGCTAAGTTCGAGCAAAGTCCGGGTGCTGTAGATGCAGGGGGGAGTCAGCGTGATTGTTATTTGACTGCAGACAGAAAACAATGACTCTAGTTGCTCGCGCCCTACGCGATTATCACCTCACTCATCGCCAAACCTGAAGATAGGGGATCGTCTCTTGTCCACTGAGCCGCACCCACGAGAGTCTATTAACCTTAATCAATGCTGTATCTGATGGCGGGTTTAAGTACGAGTCCGAAATGTCAAGCTCCGGCGATGGCGTCTCTCTCATCTGCTTCCTGCAACTCATCGCTCCGCTTGTATCGACAGTGTCAAGGTCACCTGTTCCAATCGCATATGACTGATGATGATTAATTTAACATATGCTGGCGCTTAGTTTTCCCCCCCCCCCAAACGGGTCACGTGGTAGATGCGCTGGACCAACACGGGAGCCATACCGGATTCTGGAAGGCGTTATCGGTGTTGCGCACCATAACAAATGCCAACATTGTGAGGTGCGGTGGCAGACCTAGGCGCATATTTGGGACCCCTGTCGCCTTCCCTACTTTTATTTTGTTGGCTGAAATCCTGGTCATTTGCTGTGTGGACCAGGGGGTGTGGAGTGGAGCGCCAGGGTGCAGGCTCAGCGATTCCATCCACCTGCGTCCTCGCTCGCCTCCGGTCTTCTTGACTTGTATTGACACCGGGTCCAGGTGGTGGAGGAGGAGAGAGTGCGATGAATGCTGCGCAAGCCTACTATCACTTGAAGAAGGAGACACGATCGCTGGGACAAGAGCTTTATTAGCCTGACGTTTCGGATTCCTGCACGAATCCATCGTCAGAGACAAAAGCAGATAGGGGTGTTTCATGCACAAAGGGCTGCAGTATTGATAGAATACAGTCGCCATGCTACCGCATACCTATGAATATTCACGGCTCCCCCTTCATCAGGGATCGTTGCACGTGGTGTGATGGCCGACATTCACGTCGTTATTTGCTGCAACTCATCACGTGCGTCGGATGTTGGTGTGATGACTGCTCGATCATCTAACACACTGACCCTGATGTTGGGAAAATTGTTCATCTGTGCGCTCCCCACCTGGCCGATTACTCCGCCTAGGCGAAGTTTCAGCACCAAGTATGGAAGGGGAAGTTCATTTTACTTGTTAATGGACTGGAGTCCAGTAAGCCATGACTCAAACAGCTCTCGGCTCACGCGGTTGTCACCTCTTACGAGAATTTCGGCCTCGTCACATTTGAATGTGTGGCCGGATCTCGTCGAATGAGCCGCAACTTGAGAGCTGGCGTCATTTCTTCGCACCGCCGCAGCGTGTTTGGTCATTCGTGTTCGGAGCTGTCTTCCGGTTTCTCCGACGTAGTTGCTTTGTCCGCAACTGCACTATCATTATAAACTAATTCAAGCACAATTCACCGTGCCGGCTTCACCTCGCCGTGAAGCACATGGTGGACATCGTAGACAGCAACAGTCAAACTGGCGCTTTGTTAGATGCAACCCCGTATTCTTCAAGCAGTGTCAAAACCTTCCGCAGGTTATACCTATCATGAGTGAAATTACGCTCTCTTTCAGGTAACAGTGAAGTGCTTCAGGGCTCCATTTTATTCCCTCTGATCTTTTCACTTTCATTTGATGGTCCGAGATCGCACATAGTAGTTGGTCGTCAGGTTCGAGAATGAGCTGATCTCCTACTTCCTAAGTAAGGCTGGACTATGCCAGTCTTTTGCTTACAAGTCGCTAGTCGAAAATCAGTTCGGGGTGTCATTCGAATGCAATCATACCTCCACAGTCGAATCTTTCGACATT